GCTGCATAAAGTCACCATAAGTCAGGCATGTTTGTATTTAAAATTTTATCAATTTCATCTTGTTTATTTCTTAGACTACGTATATTTATATATATTATATTTAAATTTAGTTTTTTAAATTGTGAAGATTTTCTATCGTTTAAATATGTATTATTTTGCTATTATCGGTATGAGGCGCCGTTTGTGTCAAAATTAAAAGTGCTAAATAAACTTATTTTGTTTTATAAATAATTAATTATATGCTTTATAAAATTATTATTATTTTTGATTCGCAGAAAATAATTTTATATAAAAAAAATTATTTTATAAAGAAATAATTATATAAAAAAAAATTATTTTATAAAAGACGACGGGCGCATTTATAAATTAATTTTTACTACAGTTAATTATTAGTTAAAGGTGTAAATCATTATTTGTTTTGCATTTAACTAAAAGTGCTTTCTTATAAAAAACGTTTAAACATCAAGAATTCTTGTTAAAAACTAAAAATCAAAATAAATGTAGATAAAAAAATTAATTAATTAATTAATAAAAATAATAAATTATTATTTTCAATCGTTTCCCCAAATTGCGTCAAACAAAAGCCCAGTCCGTCATAAAATTGGGGAGGGGCGTTCGGGTTCACTCGGGTTTACTCGAGTGTCTACAAACAAATAGAGATGGCTGCAGTAAAAATTAATTAATAAATGCGCCCGTCGTCTTTTATAAAATAATTTTTTTATATAAAATTATTTCTTTATAAAATAATTTTTTTATAAAATAATTTTTTTATAAAATAATTATTTTATAAAATAATTTTTTTTTATAAAATTATTTTTTTATAAAATAATTTTTGCGAATCAAAAATAATAATAATTTTATAAAGCATATAATTAATTATTTATAAAACAAAATAAGTTTATTTAGCACTGTTAATTTTCACCCAAACGGCCCCTCATATATGGGTTTCTCTTAAATAAATATTTCCATTTTTAAACCAAACATACTTGTAATTTTCTTCTTTTTTAAAGTTTCTTGCTTCCTTAAAAAGCTCCATATTGTATTTTGTTAGTTCATCGTTAATGTAAATAGTATTAATTTTTGCTAGGTCCAGATCTTCGGATTTAATATTTGGTATCTCCTTCTTGGCTTTCATAATATTGGATTTATGTTCTTCTTGATGAAATTTTACCTTCAGTAACTGCTCCCCTTTGTCGTTCTTTTTTCCCATTTGTTGACATATAAAATCATCATTTTTTAGGTTAACCTTTAGTTTTTTGCAATTTTTAAAACAACATTATTGGCTTCTTCCTTTGTAACTTCAGGAACTCCAAAAATTATAATATTTTCCTTGAGGGATTGTTAATCTTGGTAGTTTTTTTCAAGTTTAAGAATAGTTACTTGTTTTTTAAGATCATTTATTTCTTCCTTCATTTTTTTATTTATGGTTAGCTGTTCATATGAATATATCATATTTATTTATGAGATCATCCATTTTTGAATCCATGAGTGCTCATTCATAATGGACGTAACCATAAGATGACCGTAAAACGTAAACATAATATCACCATAATTTGTACGTAACGATGAGTTGTGTTTATAATGAACGTATGCCTTATGTATACTAATAAGGCGCGCATGTTCAAGTTCACTAAAATGGCAGCATTGACAGATTTCGTCTAATTATTATGTCTTAAAACTTAAAAGTTTTAAGACATAATAATTATAATTATAAATATAAATTAAGTTAAAACTATCAGTGTTATGTTTAATAAGGCGCGCATGTCCAAGTTCACTAAAATGGCAGCATTGACAGATTTCGTCTAATTATTATGTCTTAAAACTTTTAAAAAGTTTAAAGACATAATAATTATAATTATAAATATAAATTAAGTTAAAACTATCAGTGTTATGGTTCTTTAGAATGTTTGTTTTGTGGATACACCAGAATACACTTGAAAAAGATCTGTCATCTGTTTGCATAGCTATAGCTATACTACCCTGATTGCTACCAACAATGTTCTAGTGAAATCATGAAAATTACTAAAATTCACACATAAGAAACCCGTAAAGTTGAGATGATTTCAACTTTACGTATTTTTTACGGTCACCCGTAAGATCTTATGTTCGAACGTAATACGTAAAAATTACGGCTATTCATTATAAACAGGCACACTGGTTTTGTTAATATTCAACTTTACGTTTTACGTATTTCTTACGGGCATCTTATGGTTACGTCCATTATGAATGAGCACTGAGACTTAATTTTTGCATTTTGGGTGGATTTTCAATAGACTTAACCTCACTTTTCGAACACGTTGGGCAACTCCAACGTTCACCACCGGATTTCTTGTTCTCGGTTTCGATTTTCTTCATAGCATCTTTCGATACGTTTACACATTCTATGTGATGCCAGAGCTTACATTCAGAGCACTGGATACTATACTTATTCGCAGTTGATTTTGAGCACACTCCGCACGGATACGCCATCTTTAGAATATTTTATTAGATTTTCAAGAAGATCCAACAACTTACACCTGAAAACGACGTTAGTCATTCGACCGTTTTAAGATGTGTAAAAGCCGAAAAAATGCATCCATATAAACTACAACACGTACAAGAATTGATTGATGGTGATTCTGATAGAAGATTACAATTTTGCGAGCAAATGCTGCATATGTTAAACAAAAATGTTATTTCTTCTGCAGATATTCTTTTTTCTGATGTATCAACATTTCTATTAAATGGCGAGGTAAATAGACAAAATTGCAGGTACTGGGCAGAAGAACATCCCCACTGGATGCGACAAAGTCATACCCAACGTCCTCAGAAAATCAACGTTTGGGCTGGTATTGTTGGTGGGACCTATTTTCATTGAAAATCTTAACGAGGCAAGATATCTGGATATGCTAAGAGAACAAGTTGTCCCAACTTTAGCAGAGTTGTTTCCAAATCCATTGGAACCCGAGGGGTAAACCACTTTAAAATCTGAGATTTTTTCCTTATCAGTCATTATCAATAAGGAAAACTTGCTTAATCGGTGCTTAATCGGTGCTTAATCAGTGCTTAGCGACGCGTTCTACATGACTACCCTTGTTATTGTTATCCTTAGCCGTTAAGTCGTAAGCGATTTTTAATTTAAAAAAATCAGTGGTTTGCCCCTTGTTGGAACCTAATCTTCCCAATGAAAGGATATGGCTTGAACAAGATGGTGCCCCACCCCACTATGCTCTTCCTGTACGGAATTATTTAAATGACACCTTTCCACACAGATGGATCGGAAGAAGAGGTTTTATAGAATGGCCAGCAAGATCACCGGATCTAACACCTCTAGACTTTTTTCTATGGGGATATCTAAAAAACAGGGTGTTTAAAACACAACCTGCTAATTTAGATGAATTAAGAAACAGAATTACTGGAGAAATTAGGAACATAACACCGGAGGTTTTAAACAGAGTGCGGGAAGAATTTCACACATTTTGAACATTTATAAGATTGAAGAACAGTTTATTTTTGAATTTTTAATTAATTTTAAAATAAAAAGTTTAGTTTTTAATTTTTCATATTTCCACCCTGTATTGAAAACTGTTTACTAAACCCTACTTATATGGTATCGTCATACTAAAAAAAGGGCACTATCAATTTTCGATGAAAAAAGGTGGGGTTATTATTTAAGATAAGGGTGCCTAATGTGCGGGGGAGAAAATGGTGGGGGCATAAAATTTAAAATTATCATTATAAGATTTGGAATAAAAAACTAAAGTTTACGTGTCCGAGCGTTTTTCATAAAAATCTTTTCTCAAGGAATAACGAATTTTATTCCATAAGTGAGTTCCACACTGTATATATATATATATATGCTGTACTTAGTTTTCGAGAATTTTTCCACGTTCGAACTTTTTGATCCTGTAAAGGACCGATGTAGTTGTTTTGACGACGTTTCGGCAAAATCTCATTTGCCATTTGGAAAACTTTCTGCTTGCACTTCTATTTAGCAGAACATATGTATGTATATGTATACGTTCTGTCAATTTCGGGCATGACCAAAAACCAATAAATTAATGCATTTCCCATTTCCCATGGGAAAGGTATTTTTATTTTTTAAACCAAATTTAGCCCATTCATACCCCATTTGCTAAAAATGTAGCCCAAAGTAGAAGCCTGTAGCCCTCTGGAATTTTTAAAAGCCAGAAGACGCAGAGATAGCCCAATTGGCTAAAAATAGCCCAATCTGGCATGCCTGTTCGCATCTACAGCTGTAAACGCGAAAGTTAACCTTTTTAATTTTCTTTAGGTTGGTACGACTGAATTTTTGTTTATGTGTTAACTTTACTATGGTCCGCTGTAGGATGTAGGCGGCAGTCACACTTAGCCACCCACGGCTTTTACCACCATCGAACAAAAAGTAAACACATGTAATGAAGTGTTGCTGGTCACATTTTAACCATTACTAGCCACTGCTTCCACTTCAATGCCATCGATCGGTTTTAACGATCAAAAATGTTTGAAAGTTGGTGGACAGTGGCAAGAAATAGTGGTGTCACACATGCGTAGTTAAGCGATATTTTGTTGTCATTCTTAAACAACCTAAAAACTGATGTTAACATAAGAATTTGCGTAATATAAAACCATAATGTCTGTAACGAAACTATCACTTTCCATTTTAATCGGAAATTGTCACAATAACCTATATGTTAACATTTTGACATAATGCCACAAGTAAACGACATTGAATTGTATTCGCTGTTAGTGGGTGGTAGAAGTAGGTCTAATCATTAGACTCTAATGTGACTGCCGCCGTATAAAAACGCGTAAATATTAACGCTCCCTATCTCTCATTCGTTGTATTCTCATTCCGTTGCGCTTGTCATAAAAAATAGTGTAGATATATCGTGGCAAAAGGCGGCAAATTCTAAAGAGTTCGTTGCTATACTCACTTCGCTCGCGCATCAATCTTCACGTTCTTCTAAAATAGCCACTGGATATGTAATGTACTATTTATATAATTATCTGTCTTTTAGGAAAGAAATAATTACAAATTTGATACAATTGGTAAGGTAATGCGAGATTTACTGGAATGGCGACGACAACTGATCTCAGGAACAATAACTTCGGATCAAATAAAAGAGCTTAAACTTCAAATTATTAAAAAAATTGACTGGGGAAACAGGTAATAACTTACAATTATTTTAGCATCTACTTTTAGGGTAAACCTATCACATTTCTAGAATTTGCTGTCTTCATTTTAGTTTTCTAGTACAGTCAACTCCCTCTTGGTCGATTTGTCATCTGACATGTTGAATTTTTTGAGTAAAAGGAAGTTCAACTTGGAGGGAGTAATGACAATTTTGTAAATATAAATAATTAAAATGAGTTCAAGTTACATGAATTTCACGAGTTTGATATTGTCACTTGGGTATCATCTAAAATTTAGATTCTAAATCATTTGTTTACAGTCCAAAAACAATTTAGGCCGCCCCCTGGCCCCCTATACGGCACGCCACTGGTTGTAAGGTTTTCTCATTTGTTCAATTGTTTCTTGAGTCCTAGCTGATCGTGGCGTTATTATTGTGTTCCCGGTTTCCTCACACATTTTGACCCATCGTCGGATTGTATCGTCTTTCGGTGCTCGCCGCACATTGAATTCTGCGGGGTAAAGCCGTTGAGCGAGGACGACTGAATCACCGTTCCGGTAATACGCACGTACACATGTTTCCATGGCTACTGAATCTCCAAACACTAGTATAGTAACTATACTACAAGATACATACACCTTAAGATAGGATGGTGCGCATGTTGGGCGGGGCTGAAATACGCCACTTGTTGAGTATGTTTAAATCTTCAATTATCTGCTGCTAAAATTCTTGTTTTAGCGATGCTGTTGGATGTTAACTTGCTGTATTTTTTTGTTTAACGTGTTATTGCGTTGTGTTAACCTGTTCTGTTTGTTTATTATTGTTTTTGTGTTGCGTTAACTTGTTTTGTTTGTGCTTTAGTTTGTGTCGTGCCATTTGCATTTATAAAAATGCGGTGTGGCATACCTAGTTGGATGAAATTCGGACAACCAGTCCAAGAAAAACCCTTTAAATAAAAACATTAAATTTACTAATCGATTTACGAAAAACTTTGATTGGTGCAAACAGTGGTTAAATGCCACAAAAAGAATTAACAATATTAACGTTAAGACCGCTTCTGTTTCCTCTAAACATTTTCTGGACAGTGACTAAGTTTAATTTAAAACACCAACTACAGCCCTAAATGTTATCAAGGACTGAAAGCATATAGTATCCACATTATAACACTTTCTTCAATATTGTCCAGAAATTTCTCTATTTTCTTTGATAATATTACTATTATTCGTGTATTCGCACGGCAACTACTCATCAAGTGACGTCATGCGCGACACGAACCAAAACTCGTCCAAGTGAGCATCCAGCCCTGCCTACACTATACATACCCCTCACCCGCTTCATGCATCGTTTCGTCAACAGCGCACTCAACCTTTACGCAAAACATACTTCTGTAGGAAATTTAACGCTCTACAAAAAAGGTTTTTTACGTTTTCATGTAAAACCATCCTTTTAAATGATATCAGAGGTTTAGCCTTTTAGAAAGAGGTTAAACGCTATCAGAAAAAATATTTTTCTAAATTGTTTTTAGACTGTAAACAACAAATAATAGATCAGCCTAACTGAAACTTTTGTTTTCTTGGGCCAAGTACATCAGGCGGGCTGCAACGCCCTATATTACAATAAAACTCAACATTTAAACGTTTTTATTTATTTCAAAATAAATGACACTCTGGTTGTTGACATTGTGGGAAATTTGAAAGTTTTAGTTCCGGCTACATGCTACTCTAAACACGTCGTTAAAGGCTCGTTTACCCCTCTGCTTAAAATATTGATAATATCAAAAATCTGTTTTTGGACGCTAGGTCCCTATTTTTTCAAACGCGTCCAATATTTCATTTCAGCGTTTCAAAGTTATCGGGTACATAAAAAAAATTCTTCCTATTCTTTTTTTATTTAAAAATTGCTCTCAGATTTGAGTCGGTTATAAATTCAATAACTTTGCGTTGTTAAATCCCAATGCAGCAAGTTGTTTGTTAGCGTCGGTTTGCAAGTACCATTGATTTTATAAAAACACAAGATTAACAAATGATTTTTTGCAAAAACGTATTGGAGGGGCTCGTCTAACGCCGTATTCTATAACTTTGATTCGAGGAATTTCAGACTCGTCACAGTCAGAGTTGGAAAAATTCCGCTTTACTTGACTGTTCAAGCAATAAAAATCGCGTCATATTCTAGAAAAAATATTGCCCTTCTCTATCTTACAAGACTGTAAGAAAAAGTGTTTTGAATTATGAAAGGGTTGGCGGGACGCAGTTTGAGTATGGCTGATTTAGATGATACCCAAGGGAAAAAAGCGAGGGGTAAACCACTTTAAAATCTTAGAGACCAACGTTCAATGTTAGTGGACGTTGTGTTGAGATTTTTTTCCTTATCAGTCGTTATCAATAAGGAAAACTTGCTTAATCGGTGGTTAATCAGTGCTTAGCGACGCGTTGTACATGACTACCCTTGTAATTGTTATCCTTAGCCGTTAATTCGTAAGCGATTTTTAATTTTAAAAAATCAGTGGTTTACCCCTCGGAAAAAAGCCAACTTATAAAATTCAGAAAAAAAATTTTTTTTTTAATTATTTCAAACTTCATTATTTAAATAGATGGATGGTTTTACGTAAAACCCGTAAAAAACCCTTTTTTTAAAGCGTAAAACTTTCTACAAAAATATGTCTTGTATATTGTTGCATGTCTATTTACTGGCGAGATGAATTTTTTCTTATGTTATTAAAATGTCATTTGGGCAGGGTTAAACGACATGATTAATGTTTTTAGACTGCACATTATAGACCAGGCGGATAAATTAAAATTATTTCTGTACGGAGTTTAATAAAAATTTGACTTTTAAACTAGTATTAATATCCATATCTATAGACTTATGAGTCTTATAATATGAAAATTATTTTACGCTTGAAAAAAAAAACATACCATATACCACAGACCAACATGGTCTGTGTTATGTACATAAATACAGGGTGTCTCAGATTTTAATCGGGAAAATTTTGCAGTCTATAGAATTCGCAAAAATAAGAAGAATGTTTTTTTATTAACTTTACCACCCGGTATCTCGAAAACAGTCACGGTCGCACTTTGACGAGGTAAGACTTATTTATATTAACCGAGACCTCGCTAAAAACCCAAATTTTACAACTTATATTAAACTACTCCTACAGTGCAAATAAACTACAATGCATTGTATCTACAGTGAATTAAAGGCTACCTTACGGTCACGGAAGTAATAAAGTGAGAAGTGACAACTGACCGCATACCTGGCGGATGAACCACCTGACAAAAGGAAGCATTTTATGTAAAGAACAAACGAGGCTAATCAAGAGTGGAAAGGGCCATCATCTGAAGAAAAGTACTCTTAACTAACATAACCTATTACGTAAATTTGCAACATTAACCTCGTTCAGATACTAACACAACCCTTAGAGCGGTTCTTTCCGCTTGAACACAACTCTAGTAAAAAAAGGACAGCAACATTAATAATAAAACAATAGTAACAAAACAATACAAAAAACCATAAAACCAAGCCGTCCCAATTCTTATCGCTGGCATTCACGGGATTATAGCTGAGCAAGACAAATAAATCAATCACCAAGTAAGTCATAAAATCCATAAACTTTAGAGTCCGGTTCCAATAAACACAAGTGTTTAAACTAATCGAGACATACATAAACATTGGAACCAGAGGTGGGCACGACTACTAAAAACGTATTCGTAAAATTACTTAAGTACTTTAGTACTTAAAATATTTACTCGTAAGTACTTTACTCATAAGAGAGGTTACGGTTACGAGTAGTAATCGCAGGGCTCTTAAATGTCCTAAAAGTCCTAAAATTCAGCATTCTGTCCTAAATGTCCTATAAAATTGGTCTTGTCCTGAAATGTCTTAAAATTTGGCATATTTTGTTTTATTAATATTTAAAATTGCCCCATAAACCAACTGTCACATGATTTTGTCCTGATAAAAACACCAAAACATCAGTTTGTGATCTGGGTTGCCTACTCTATGGTTGTGATCAAAATTAGTGAATTGACTCCTATCAAAACAAAATTAACATTCAAAAATTATTTAAGTTAAGTTTTACATCCAAAACAGAAATACAAAACTACTCTATAACACACAACACAAAATTGCCCGCATCGATAAAACTTGAAAAATCGGATAGAAGACGATAAAAAAAAGACCCGTGTATCGGCGATTTTTTTGTACACGTCAAATTTTTTTTTATTTGGTTTTGAAACACAGAATTTTAAGATAATTCGTAGAAAGTTTCCATACTAAATATTAATGTTATTTTTTTTATTCAAGCTTACAAATGTTCTTAAAGGGCATTTTAAAGAACTCTTACACAATCATAAGGCTGTAACTACTTTATTATTACGTCCATAAAATTTTAATACTCAAAAGTAAAAAAAAACAATACTACCTTAAATTGTTTTAAGGCTGAACACAATTAAACAAACTGTCTGATATTATTTAGTTTAATAAAAATATTTGATACAACTCAATTATTTTTCAAATTTTGGCCTTTTATTTTTTCTTTTTAGTGAATTTGTTGCCGTTTCACGACAAAGTGACCAACAGTATTCACCGAGCATGTGCACCAAATTTTTACCTTTACATATGTCTTGGTGGAATCTTTCTCCATGTTCATCACTGTAATCACTAGGGATGGGATTTTAGTTATTTTACCTTTTTCCAGCCGATTTAACTATTTGAAAACCAATAATGCCAAAATGTGTTTTAAAAGATTTTCTTTTATATGAACCTAACTTGTTTTCACCTTTTTTACCTTTTTTGGAGGATTTTGCTTTAAACTACCTTTTTTATACTTTTGTTACATATTTTTTAATTTGTCAGTTTATTTTCACCTATTTGTTACCTATTTTTACGTATATTTACTTATTTTATTTTTTTGTGCTCTTTTTAAATTTTGCGCCAATATTTTATCCAGGGCGTGCAATTCAACGGTATAGAATTTTTTCTTATGGTCACAGACTGTAACAGTAACTTCTGTGTATTTTATTGCATATAAATA